GGGAGCATCTCCAGCATCACTAGAGGGAGCATCTCGAGCATCACCAGAGGGATCATCTCCAGCATCACTAGTGGGATCATCCCCAGCATCACTAGTGGGAGCATCTCCAGCATCACTAGAGGGAGCATCCCAGTATCACTAGAGGGAGCATCAGTGCAGGGAGTATCTCTAGCGTCACTAGTGCGAACACCGTAGCATCATCAGCAACAGTTCACATGGGTCCTGTTGTGTTATTTGAGATTTACAATATTGCCCTAAACATCATGAAAAATATGTGAGAACTGCAGAGGTCACTTTTTACTGAAATCTGCAATTTCTTGGAAAGATGAGCTGCTCATGTGGATGTGTGCAGCTCACATTTTGAGCAGGGACATCATAACACTTGAGCTCCCTGCCCTGGGTAAGGCTGAGAATCATGACAGGGTGGATTGTTAATTTTATGCAGCTGTTATTTACACTGCACCTTTACATTTGCTTACGTTTGGTGCATGTGTGGTTTGTGTAAGTCTTGATAAATTCTAACTTTATATATTACACTTGTTTATATGATAACAAATTAGCAAATGATACATAGACTGGTAACTATGTACATCACATGAATTCATGACATGCCTAACTTTAAAATTCTTTTCAGTATTTTTAGGGTAAGGGGTTTGTTTGCGAGGTTTATCAAATTGTTGCAAATTTCCATTTTTTCTGCATATATTTATTAAAAACTACATATAGTGACCAGTGTGGCTCAAGCCCATGTTGTTTAGGGGTCACCTGTGTTTTCTTTCCTGTCACTGGTGATGTGTGGGGAGCTGAGTGTCTGCATGCAGGTCTCAGTTAGTTCCTGGAGAGTTGAGTTCAGTCTCCCTCCCCTGCTGCTACGTCCCTGAACAGTCTGCTGGCCTGTTTAACTTCCATCAGTGCAATTTTTGCCATAACATGACTTCAGGAAAGTCATTTGGGAATTCTTACTCTCCCTGGTAATTATGCAAACTGCAGCCCTCAACAACAGCTGGAGAGCCCTCCGAGATACCTGTGAGGCTCACAGGCCCTGATGTTTCTACCAGGTGAAACTGAAGAGGATTTGAGGTGCGCAAACCCAGGTTTCCCCCACCCCCACCCCCACCGTCAGTTTAGGCTTCTGAATATTTCTCACCCACTTTGTATTTCTGAGAGGGGATTAACTAGGGAGGTACTGACGTCCTCACCAAGGCCCCTGTGGAAACTATTTCTATCATGCTCCTCTGTCAAATCTACAAGCAAGTTTAATTTTCTTGAACATTTTAAGTGGACTTTTTTATGTTGAGAGGAAATAGTTGTTTGCTTTCATACCAGATGCCACTCCTTGTGGGATGGTGCCTCTCACATTCTACCTGGAGGCTCTTTACGATTTATCTCACTACTGCTATCAAGGCTGATTCATGCAATTTTCTCATTTTCTTTGTGTTAACTGTTGAAATGCAGAATACATAATTTTAAGAGTTTTGAAAAGTAATTTTTAGGGAGAAGAATGTGCCATAGAAAAACAAACACTTTCAAAAATTTTATTTCTGTTCTAAATATTAATGAATATGTTTAGAAATGGTAATTAGGAAAACATTTAAAAAGTCTATACTGAAAAGTGCTAGTTCCTATGATAATTACATATCTATTTCAATTTTGAAAAATGAATTAAATGCATATAGATGCTTTTAACTTCACGTGTGCTAAAGGGTCTTTATCAACAATCAAAGCTATAGTTTGAAAAACAGAGATCATTTTGTAAGATCACTACTTCAAGGCTTTAGGACATGTGGCTCACAAAACTCAACCTTCTTTTTAAAAATATTGAATGCTAGAAATGTATTGTTATTATTCACCCTAATTTGACTTTATAGTTGCTATAGCTATTCACCAGCTAATTCCACGGCTGTGTAATCACTTCAGCATATTTATTATTATTTTTTAAAATTTTTATTGGAAATGAGCTGGATAAAAATAGAAGTGGCCCTGAAGTTTATTAATGAATGATGTGTCTGGAATACAATGACCCTTCAAATCCATGCCAGTGCCAGCAGAATCTGGCAGACGAAGAAAGCTCGGCCCCTGAGCAGGTGGGCAGAAAAGCGGGGTGAAGCAGAGATGGGGTGTGGTTCTGTGACACGCTCTCGTGGAATTTTGATAAATGACATTCTATACATATCACACACTACCAAGAGACACATTTTAACACGTGCTTCTTCTTTATCATGTTGAAGGTAATATACCCATTTTATAATTAGAAAATGTGGAAAGATTTGAAAGAGGAAAGCAAACGCCACCAGCAAAGCCATGACCAAGCGTTAACTGTGGCTAATATTTTATTCTATCTCCTTCCAATGTACTTTTTAATGAATGTGTCTAGCACAGTAATGTTTATTTTATGATCATTAAACGCTTTTATTTTTACTACTGCTCATCACATCTTGTAATAAAGAGCTGTGATTCGAATTTATCAGGCCTTTTCACCTCTTTCTGTCAGAGTCAGCACAAAGTAAAATATGTGGGAATATGTGGCAAAATGAACTTTTTTTAAGCTACAAAATTTTATTATATATAATTTTGTGCAAGGAACAAAAAGAATTAGAGGCATTGCAGGGTTTGTAAGATTATTGTTGTTGTTTCTGTTTTGCAAAAGGGGGGGTGGGTGGAGGGAGGGTGATTGGTGAGATCACGCCCATGGTTCATCCTATAAGGGTACATGTGAATCTCTCTAAATGTAGAATATAAATGTTTTAACACAATAACTAAGAAACAGACATGAAGGTCATGTTAACTGTTAGATGAAAGTATTTCAAATTGTATATATAAACAGTACACTGTACCCCATGATAGTATTAATGTACATGGCTATGATTTAATAAAAAAAAAAGATATTGGAAATAAATTTATCATTTTGATGGTATTATTATGGGAATGCATTTCTCTTGTATGTAGTTCCATTAAAGGCACCCTAAAACTCCAGATACAAATTTAAAATAAATCAACTACAAATAGGGTGAGAGAATTATTTTTGAGGATATTTTTAGTTCAAGGAAACAAACCAAACTTTAGGACAAAAATCTTTACTCAAAACTTCCAACTTATAGTTGATAACTCTTTAAGGTTAAGTTTTCAGACTAAAACTTGAACTTTTTAAAACATTTACTTTGTATATGTATTTTCCTATTTTATTTTGCTTACACCTCCATGAAAAAGACAGAAACAGGTTTCTTTATGTGGCCCACTGCTCTCCTATACTAGAAAACAGTGATAACCAGTAATTGTGAGCGCTGTTCTCATTCTGCGATGTAGTTAGACCTTGGGGTTAGACAGGCTGGGAGGGTGTGCACCTTGGTCCAGCCCTGGAATGTGTGGTCTGTCATTATTGTCAGGAACTCACCCGCTGTCCCTGCTTCTCAGCCCACCACGGCGTCCCCCTGCGGCAGGTCTGGGATTCCTGCTCTTATACTTGTTGTTGGGGGTGGGGGGACTCATCTGATCGAGGCTGGGGGTGCAGCTCTGCCAGCCTCATGGGTCTCTCATCCTTCACAGACTGGTGGTCACAGGGCTGTGCTCTGTAACCTCAGGAACCAAATCTCCTCACACACATGCCTCACAGATCTTGGTCACGTCCCAGCCGAGAACATCCCATGGGCCAAACAATCTCTCATCAGTCAGACATAGAGGGGCAGGAACCCAATACCTGGGTGGGGTGAATACTTTGCCAATAGTGATTTCAGGTCACTTAGTGACGATGAGTGATTTTCATTTCTTTCTTGTACCCTTTCAGGTTCAACATTCCAAATTCTTTGTATAATTTTGTGTTGTAAAGAATTTTCTATAAAACTTGAGGTCTGCTAAGACACTTTCTCAATGACTTAACTGTTTCCTAAGTCTGTGCAATTTGGTAGAACCTGCACTTATGTGTCTTTATCTTTATCTCAGACACATTGACACGCAGCAACGGGGAAAGCAGATGTTATGTGGGGCTCTCTCTGGCTAACCTGCCTCCCCCAACTGTCCACATTAAAATAAAGTGCAGAGTGCAAGCCAGCGTCTGTCCACGCTGTCCCACTGGAAACGGTGAAACTGATTTTGTACCAGTGAATTAACTGCTTTAGAATTGAGCAGCTATTAATAAATCAGATTATTCTGAAAGCTTGATATGACGACTATGGATAAAACTTTTCCTTCCTTAGTCGGTGAGCACTTCCCTCTAACAGGACTTTCTATTAGTTATTCTTGTCAGTCCAGGCAAGGCTTAAATAAGGAATGCTTTTAGGTCTCGAATTTGGATCTGATTTGCTAAAAATGACCTCAACACCTAAAGCAGCAACATCAGCCACAGAAAACTAAAGTCTGGGGAATATATTATTGTAATTGGAAATAACAACAGGCACCTGTCACCCAACACGCACTCTCCGTCTCCCCCCCTCAATCATCCAGTCAGCAACAGGCTGACAACCACGATCACTTTATTGGACAGGACAGTTGGAGGGATCTGGGAGATTTTCATGTTATTTTGTTATCCCAATAGACTGTGGTGAGCAAATAATTCTTTCATTCTTTAAAGTCAATGGGATGTTTTATTTACATGGAGGCATCTGAAGTGTAAAGGAGACCTACCTTGTGAACTTGAAATAACACCTCACAGAGGTTATAGATTCTCTCTGCTCGGACCCAGTCTGACGTGCTCACCTGCAAGAGATACAACATGTATATGAGAAAATGTTCCTTTTAGTTGGAAAATCTGAACACTGACAAAAATGGTGTGTTTCCACCTTAATTAAATCCTAAGCCTTCCTTAGAGAAATGGTAACACTTCTGCTGTAAATTGGTACAAGTGATCCTGTACCCTCTGTTAGGATGTGGTGTGAGTTGGATAGACCCATTGTTAACACAGAATATGGTAATGAGGGAACTTTATTATACACAATTGGGCATAATTTTAGGGATTCACTTTGGAATCCTCTTAGACTAAATTAAAACTAATTTTAGGTTAAATTTAGAGAACTTCAGAATGAATTATGAATGAATGAGTTTCTATATTTTCTGGAATCAGACAATGGAGGGAAAGTAATGTGTAGACAATCTTTTCTCCTTTAGGACTAAATTCGCTAATCAATATTATTTCAGAAATGAATGAAAAATCCATTAGTTGTTCAATTACATTGAACATTTTTGACTGGTCTCATCTATTATAGATAACAACTATTTTTATAATAATAATGATCAAAATAATCTAAGTTTTGGATGATGACTTATGGTTTATAATCATGTTCACATACATGATGTCTAAAATATTTTATGTAGAAAAATGTAAAATATTCAACAGTGTAAAACATTTGGATGTTTTAATCATTGACATGCCTATTCTATTGGCCAGTAAAATAACCAAAACTTCACTGTATTGCATCTTCAAACCCTGAAATTACTGTATATTTAACCAGCTGCTGAGTTTCCAGTAATCATTGAATCAAACAAATGTCTCAAGATCTAAACAGTCATTTTTTACAGCCAAATGGGAACAATGATACCATGTGGATTACCAGCATTTTTTCACCAGAGTCAACTCATTGCTACTGTGGTAAGTTCCCACCCACTGGGTACAATGTGGGGGGCTGTGGCACCCAACGGGTGAGGGACTCAACTGTAACATGGACTTTGGATTTTGACTTGCAAATGCAGATAACGTATTTAGTTATTGAGTCCTAGCCCTCTCACTGATCTGAAATGGAAGGAAAGAAGGAAGGAAGGAAGGAAGGAAGGAAGGAAGGAAGG